TCTCCCAAGTGAAGGGGTTTTGATTTGTTTTTCAAATATTGGCTATAGGGTCTACAAGTCAGTATTCATAATAAAATTTTGAACCAGAAGTCTAAGAAGGAATATCAGGATCCTGAATTCTAACTGGAATTTTTGCCTTGCAAGAAGGCATTTGGCTTGTTTACACACAAAAACTGTGACCCAAGAAGCAATTTGCCAACTCAGAAATGTAAAACCTAGCTACTTGCTGCAAAGCAGTGGGGTGAGCATGTTAGATATCTGTATCTGGTGCTGAGGAGTGCTGGGAGAAGATCCCTTCTCGTGCTGACTGTGGGCATGTTACAAAATTAATATTTATTTAAGGGCAAGCTGTTCTTGATATGGCATTTGTGTCAAAATATTAGGTATAGCTAGCTTTGTTTTCCAAAATGCTACAGAGCATGATCTTCTGCATTAGTAGATAATTTTTTCAGGGTACTGAAATACCAAATATGTCCAATCGCCCTAGAGTATGCAGTAGGACCTAATGCAGAGAATACGGATGCAGTGGTGTGGAAGGCATCAGAAAGCCCTGGCCTGTGCTGACTGTGTTACAGCATTTCTCTTCTTGCAATGCGAATCCAACTTGTTTGTTGCATATCAGTGGACGATGTCTTCTTTCTTCCTGAACGTGGTATAAAATGTGCAGGCAATTCCCTTTACATGATGAAAAAGGGAAGTTCTTCTGATATATTTGCTATCTGCTTTAAAACCTGGATGCCTCTGCATAATTAAGTCTACTATGTCACATGCACTTGTTTATTCACTAACATGCCCACTGGGGATGTTTTTTCCTAACCCCAGGGACTTAGTAGAGGTTGACTTATGACCTGAAGCATGAGGATTTGTAGCCCTTACACATTTATAGCCTAGTAGTCAGATGCCTGTCTAATCCTCTTTTGAATCCCATTGACCTCCTCCCCTCAATAATATTTGTGGAAGTGAGTTCCTTAGGACCATTATGCATTGTTTTTTTTTAAAATACTCTTTTTAGCACTGCTAAAGTTGTGGCTTTTTAATTTCATTGGGTGACTCCTGATCTCTTACCATACAGAAGGGTAAATAGGATCATATGAGTGACCTTCTCTGTACCATTCATTATTTTATGCATCTCAATCATGTCACGCTCCTTTTCTTCAAAGAATCTTATTAGTCTCGCCACATGTAGAAGCCTTCCTTCAAATCATTTTCATTGTCAGTTTTTCAACCCTCCATACTTACTATGTCATGTTTGAGGTTGGGTGGCCAGAACTGAATACAGTAGTACAGGTGAGGGCGAAACATCGATTTATATAATGTCATATTTTCATTATTAGTCTCTATTCCTTTCTTAATACAAAGCAACTTCTTGCTGGATTTCTTTAATAACTATTGTCAAAGAGGAAATGTTTCCATTCAGCTGTCTGCAAAGACCCCCAGATTTTTCTCCTGAGTGTTTACTTCATTAGATGCCATCATTGGGTACCATTCAGGGCTTAAAGATTTCGTTTCTTTAGTAGCCTGCTGCAGAGGACTCCTCATAATGCCACAATGTACAGAAATCAAGATAAGCAGCTGGTGGGTCTAGGAAGCAATATAATGCAAAACGATAGTATCAAAAGGTGGCCTACTATAAAAGAGCCAGAGCTAATCCTCCAAAGTTTGTAGAAAAAAAATGTCATCATGCCTAATTTCTCCAATGGAGGAGGGGTGACAGTTTACTGAACAAAGAGACAGGATATTTGTAAGCAAAAATGCTGTTATATTTCTTGCAGCTATTTTCTTTTCACTTCTATAGCACCTTCCATCTGAAAGCCTCAAAGCCCTTTACAGATATTAATTAATTAAGCCTCACAACAACCTTGTGAAGCAGGTAAATATTGTTGCATCTATTTTACAAATGAGGAAACTGAAACACAGAGAGGTTAAGTGTCATGCATAAGGTTACACAGCAAGTCAGTAACAGAGCCAGGAACAGATCCCAGGAGTTCTGACTGCCAGTTACCTGCTATAACCTGAAGATAACACTGTCCTGAGGAGCCAGCACTAGCTAAAGCATCAATCTGGCAGCGTTCTACGAAACCAACAAAATCATCAACTTGGCTGTTTTTTCTCTCAAAGGCAGCCCTCTCCTTACTGCACTGCTCCACCTGGTACCCATCCCTTCAGGAACAGGCTGTTGTGATGCATTCCATGTGCAGAACATGGCCAATTAGGCATTACCGTTACTCACTAGAACTGGCTGGGCATCTCAGTGTTAGCATTTATGTTGTTTGTTGAACTCGCTAATCATCCAATTCAGTTTTCTGTTGCTTTTTTGTTGTTGTTGTTGTTAATCTGAGCATTTCTGGGCAGGGAAAATAATTATGTCGCCTCTGTGCCACTTTATATGACAATTATGCTTAAAGCTAGGAAAGCAGTAACTTTAAAGGACAGGGTGGGGGAGCCCTTTCCTCAGATATAGGGATTGATCCTACACACCAAATTGAATGGTGACTTCCATGGTGCAAAACCAGATGCACATGGTGCAGAACCAGGCACATACTGAAGCAAAAGGTTTCACCCATTCAGTTTCTGTTGTTACGTTGCCCAACTCTAATGAGGCTGCTCACCTGCCAAAAGAAATGGCCCACTAATGATCTGATCCAAAAGCTGATTGAAGCCAAAAGGGTTCTTTTCATTGACCTCAGTGGTCTTTGGATCAGACCTTAACAATGTCCATGACTAAACAGCAGATTTTTGTCAGGTAGTTTGAGACTGAGAAAGCCAATGAGATGTTTTTGTTCTAAAAAATCTTCGACTAGTGAGACATGCTCTGCCTCTGTTCAAACCCACCTGCTTTGGCTGAACGACATTTAAATATAATGTTCCATAGCCTAGAATGAGTGTAATGATAAAGAAAAGTGCATGTGGAAAACTGTAGATAAATACCAGTGAAATATGTAGAGATCCATGAGAAATGAAATTTTTCAATCAGAAAGACAAAGCGTGCTGTGTTTAAAAATGTCATTGCATTCCTTTGCAAATTTTACAGAATCAAATCAAGAGGCTAATAGTTAACCAACTACTCAGTGTTACAAATGCATGGCCAATATAAACTACACCTCTACCCTGATATAACGTGACCCGATATAACACGAATT